GATTTATTGGTGAGGCTTCGCAAGTAGCATCCATTAGCCAGAGCATCTACTTTATTGCTGAAGGTTTCCCATTTGTCCTCAGTCATCTTATCATAATCATAGATCTTTTTCGAAGGAATATTCCTTTTGTTATTACTGATATCCAAGAAATTTTCAACACTGAAGGTGACCAGTGAATGGTCTGATAAAACTGGGTCAATATCTAAGACATCGCAACGCGTAAAATTAGAAACCACTTCAGCTGAGGACCAAATGTAATCAATTCGTGACTTCGACAGAAGACTATTATGAGTAGGATGATTACTTTGAGAATGATCATATTTGACAGAAAACGTGTCAAAAGATGTAAATTGTCGAGTCAGGAGAAGAAATTTTTATCGTGTGAATGTAATTTAGGATTATCCATATCTATATTAAAGTCTCCAAGGAGTACCAGATAATAATTATTCGAGATCGCTTCTCTAATGAATCTAATAAGCTCAATCTGTATGGGTTTCCTACGAGTGAGGTTGCCCAGTGGGAGGTAGCAATTAATAATTCACAGTTTTTGTTTGTTACTGAATTGCAAATCAACGATTATAATACGGTTGTGTTTGGTTTTGTGATGAAAAATATGATTTGCCAAATAGGGACGGACCAATTATCCAATGTCGAAGCCTGTTTTTTGACTATGGGAATCTGGAGGCAATCCAAAGAAGCCTGTATATGTTGATGAAAACATGCTGTTAAAGGATCGGATTGAAGATTGTGAAAAATTAGTTTCTTGAAGACCAATGATATCTAATTTCAAAGAGGAATAAAATTCAATAAGTGAGTTTTGTTTAACAGCGTTAGTAAAAGAATGAACATTTTGTGTTGTGAAAGAAATAAGTAGAGGGGGAGAAAGAAGGTCGTTATTTGTGTTAGGGTGTACATCTTGTGTAAAATTATCTGTAGGGACAGTGTTCATTAGGAACGGATTTAAAAGGATGGTAATTCCTTGAGATAGTTTCCGACATCACTATCGAAAGCATCTCTGAGTGGAAATAATGTATTGGCTAAGTCCTTGGGTAGCATATCGTTCTATATGAGGATGGACTGAAATGTAACACATGATTTCACTAAGGTGTTAACCGTAGTTGTGAAAGATTTCAATCTGTGTTGATGCATTTCGTTGAGGTTTTTAAGGCCTTCAATCGTTTTTCGTTGTTGAATGATAATGGATGATAATGTATCAACGGAGGGTTCAACTTCATCAAAATCTATAATCTCAGGATCTGAGTTTTTAATATTCGCTTCCAGAGGAGTGACGACTTTAAATTGAAGGGAATCTTTAACTGCTTTGACTCTCGTGATGGTGAAGTTCAAGTTCTTCATCAATTCACACATATTTTTATTTAGAGTTGAAAATTGTTGTCTGACAAAGGACTTAAAGTCCTCATCATTATTCGCGTGCATTGAGCCTCCTTTCTTAGTACCATTACTGATATCGTTAGGGGGTAATTGTATTTGACTGTTGGTGAGAGGTATAATATAAGTCATTAGGAATATCATCAGACCACGATGAAATAGGTGATTCTGATACACCTTTATTGTCAAAATCCTTTTTATGTTCAGTAGGGGGTCTGTCAGATTGTTTTTGACGTTGATCTGTTTTGTTCTTTTCAGACTCTGACGATTTTATCACGTGAGCAAATGTACATTTGGACTCACTGCACCTTTGATGCTTTTCATAGGAACTTTGTAATTATTGTACTGTGCAGGTTGAAATCGCTGGTAGAGTTATTGCGTATTGCAGTCAGAAGGTGACTTGCGTTTTCTAGGACAATCATTCACTTTATAGTTGGATGAAGAGCAGATAGCACATAGTTTAGCATTCAACTCTATCCAAGTCACATGTTTATTGTCGATCGTAAGATTTTCATTGCTGATCGCAGCTTCAAAATCATCAGCTGATTTAAAATAGAAGAAGGCGTGCTAGAGATTATGATAATTCGATCTTGCTTTGGAGATAACCCAAGAAAAAGCATTAACCATGTGTCTAATATCAGTGAGTTGTTTACCATTAGTGAAATAAAGGAGACCTGCAAGTTTGGCAGAAAACTTTGACCTAGCAAGGATGTCACCACAAGATAAATCACACATATGTCATCTAACTATGTCGTTAAGAACAAAAACCCCGTATTTGTCTTTTAATGTGTTGAAATCCATGTCGATACTATAAGTGATTGTGGCTTGTTGCCAGAAATTCTTGGTTTCCATAAAAATTCTAACGATCTTTCCAAATTTAGAGAAAATCGTCTTAATTCTGTGTTCAGTGGCATCAAGGGGTATCCCTGTGATCTTGATTGATTGTTTTAGAACATATGGATGTTGTGTGATGATCTCCAATAGTGAGAACGTGCGATTTTCCATATTGGGTAACTTAATTGTACATGTGTGGTCATGATGATCTTTGTTTCAAAAGGTGATTTTGATAATACGTTCTGATTGGTTCATGAGGTTCTTTGCAGCTACTACGCTAGTAAACGAATCGTAAGTGTCGAAAGCAGGTCGACAAAAAAGGAAACTTTTTGTTGAGGTGACTTCCCAGGAATATCGTTGAGTGGGAAAGACGCGTGAAAAGCAGCCTTTGGGCAGTTGAAGGCTTGTGGTGACTTGTTATCATTATCGAGAATATTTTCTGAAAGGTCGTAAGCTTCGTCGACATTGAGCGTTGTTTGGAAAATATCTTCTTCTTTATCTTTTCCTTTGTCAAGAGGTTTTGGGTCGACTTCCATAGTTTCTGAAGGTACAACAGTAGTTGAGCTACTTGGTGTTGGGATATTATCCTTTGTTTGCATTAGATTTATTTTTTTGGTAGAACTTTTTGAAGTATTGTTATTTGTATGTGGAGACGCTGAGTGACCTCGTTGTTTGGAGTTCTTTCTCTTAGGTGTCATTGTGGAAAAGGAGAAAGAGTCTTTTTTTTTTCAATATGAATTTTATTTTGTTTTTTTTTTTTTTTTTTTAAGTGCGGTAGTTTTGCAAAAACTTTATTGAAAATAATAATAATAAAAATTACATACATTCAGAATTAACGAAAATCTTTATCTAAATAATCATGAAACTATCTAAATCAAGACCGACCTTGCACTTCCCCAAAATCTAACACAATTGGAACCATGTTATCATATTCCAGTAATCAGAATAAGGAAAGGGCGTGGCCCCTACTACACCAAAAATTTATCCATTGGGTTCCCTGACGAACTATATTATTGATTGAAGATAAAGTATCTACAGTGGGATTAGAAGATGTAAATCTATATCCTGAACTTTTAATATTGGATTTTTTCAAGGTATTCATTATACCGTTAGCCGATTCATATTCTTTGAGTATTGAATACCGTTCAATCCATATCTCTTGTGATTGTTCATAAATGAAATGCATAAAAGTAGAAAGTGCTGCATTGGTAGCTTCTTTAGTAGTCAGAGATGATGATACAAATGCAACTAAGGCAGAGGGATGAAACCTTTGATCAAATCAACGAATGAAAGTGGTAATATCATAGACAAGTACCAGATATTGAGCTGATTGATCCACAGGTCCAGTGGATCAGTTTGAGTAATATCGCAGAGTAGCCCTTTGTCGTTTTTAATGATCAGTTGAGATTTATATAACACAAGTGAACAAGTCCATATGTGAGCAAAATCTGCTTCATCAGTGTCACAGCGAAGACACATTTGTGTATTATTAAAAATTAGAGGATGTCATTTTTTGAGTGTTTCCATTGTAGGAAGCATTTTGAGAACCCTTTGGAGTTTCTTTTTTAGTAAGGCAGAGGCTTTGTAATTGGTAACGTTTGAGGCAGTATTGTCTTTTAAGCAGAATATAGTGGCCATCCAATCGATATCCAGATTGAGGTATTTATTAATGGTGTTGAGATTCAAGAAAGCTGAGAAGGTCTCTGTCTGAGTGATATTTTTAATAAATTGCCTGATGGGTGGAGCAATTGACATCTTATTATAATATAAAGAAATATGCCATTGTTCATTAATAACGAAGTTGAGAGCAGAAGTATTTAAGGAGCCTTTCACTAGTAAGTCCACGGCATCATTATAGGTAGCACCTGAATGGGATTTGACTTTATTCAATTTAACTTTGAACGATGAATCTTTAATGACTTGAAATAAACATTGCTAAATATGAACATTGACAATTTTGAGGAGAGGTCTTACAGACGGAGAGATGGTTGACAGGAGTTTATACTTGTTGAATTGTGAAATAACCATATAAGAATCAGTGAAAATGTTGACTTTGCATCCATTCAGGAAAACAAGAATAGCAGTAAAAATTGCGACAAGTTCAGCTGTTGATGATGACGGAAAAGATGCTGTGAAAGCAGTAGAATATGAGATCTGTGAAACTAATAGTGCAGTTTGGAGCCAAGCGAGACCCATTCTAATAGAAGCTGAGTTGAGATTGACCAGGGATCCATCGGTATAGAATTCTAAGGAAATGTAGAAACTGAATTGAGAGCGAAAATTTAGTAACGTTAGGATATGTGAAGGAGGAATAAATTTTTCTATAAAAGAAGAAGGAACAGGTGGAATAAAAGTTCTTGCAGGTATGTTAGAATGTGGAACTTTCGAATCTTGATAAAAGAAGAAAGGAGTTTATTGAGCAAATGCAGGGACCATGAGCATCCATATGAGGAATTAGTGATATTATGATGTGTTAGAATATGAAAGCAAAGGTTAATGGGGACTATATAGAAATATTTGTGTTCTTTGTCAGCAGTCTGATATGGGATATGCGTTTGTTGATCATAAAGATCGCATTGAGGACATTTAGGGAGCAATGTTCTATTATCACGTCCTTGTGTTAGGTTAATATGCATAATATGTGTATAGTGCTCTTCAGTTTTAAGTAATCTTCCTACAAAAGGTTTATTATGTCTAAAGTTCCATACTAATACAAAGGAAATGATACCAGCACGTTTGTTGGGTGGCAAGAAATCAAATGTGTAGTTGCATGGGTGTGGATAATTGTGTCTGGTATTTCTGTTAAGGGGGTCAACAATCAAGCTTTCTTGTAGAATATTGAACTACTTAGGTATACAATGCGTGGATGGAAACCCAGGTTGAATGCTGAGATCGTAATATGTTAACATGAAGTTTCCGTTAAAAGTAACCAATTGTTCGACAAAGAGTAAGGAGTGATTTCTGAGGTTATTAGCTATGACTTTATACTTGGATGGTATCAGAGAGGAAATTGGTGTCATTCCTCCTTTGACTAGATACGACTCAGATGAAGGTGAGTGCACAGTAATGTTCAGACATTTCCATTCACACAAGATATTTGCAATTCAGTCGTTCAATTTTGGGTAACGGATATAGGGTCAACTGTGAAGCTGTCTCATGCGTAATCTAGTGAAGTCTCCTAAGATGTTTCTATCATTAAGGGAAAAGAGTAAGGCTTCATTTTGAGAAGCGAAAAGCCGATGGTGAAGATTAATGAGATTATAAAATAAATTAGAGTAAAACACAGAGGATGGTGTATCACGAGACAGGTGCAATTTCTTCTTCATAAACGTACGATAAGGAGAACCAAAGAAATCACACTGGGTTTTTGTGAAAGCTGAAATTTGGGCGCGATATTCAATTCTAGGCATTAAAACGATGTTGAATATATAAACCATCTGTTTGTCCGTCATCTTTTTATTAATCATAATAGTAGTAGCATTCTTGATTTCCGCTCTTAACATCTTAACGGTAAATGTTTTATTATGACCTAAAGAGATTCACACTCCTAAATATCGAGTTGAATCATTTATGGGTAAAGGGTTAATTCTTGTCAGACTACCATTGATATCACACATGAATGGTGTTTTGTTGATAATGAGAACCGATTTGTCCCAATTAACTTTTATATGGTTGAGTTTATAAAAGCTTTCGGTGATGTTAAATCTATTATTGAGATCACTTCGAGAGTTTGCAATCCATAAGGTATCATCTATATATGCGAGTGCTGAGACTTTAAGCGATGTAGTCTCAAAATCGTTGATAAGTACATTCGGCTTTCACAAGTACATTAGAGTGTATCCATGTGATGAGTTTTGAATACGACACAGTAAGGGATTGTAGTAGATGCACCATAATAGTGGGAAAATGATTTCACCTTGGTCAATACCTAATACTACTCTATAAGAGTCAGTATTTCCAAATAATGTAAATATTTGATTGTGACGATTGCCAAACATTTTTAAAATAAAACGAAGGAAATTGAATGGGATATGAAGTCATTCCAGTGCTCTAATAAGCATGAAGATATTGACACGATTGTACACCTTGGACATATCTTGTAGTAGAATTCAAAGGTCATTTTTATTATGGTTGGCGTCATATTTAATGTTGTCGATAATATGTAGTGGTTCGAATGTTGACTTGAAGGGCAACCCAGCGAAATTTAAGCCTTTTAAGACATTATGTTCAACCATAATTTTGGATAATCAACAGTTTAAGAGCTTGATGAGAGCTTTACGCAGACATTCAAGCAGAGTGATAGGATGAGTATTATTCAAATCGTACTCCCATGATTTTGGTTTAGGAATCAGGTAAACAAACGCATGATTCCAATGATGCGGTAACGAGAAGGTTGAAAGACATCCACAAATTATATGCCAAAGAAGTTTTTTTTGTCAGTGGATCGAGACATTTTAGCATATCGTTGGAGACTTTGGAGGGGCCCGGTGCTTTTTAATTAGGGAGATGAGCGAAAGATGAGCGATAAGATTGTACCATTCATCCACTGATGGTGGGTTCATTAGATCATTATAAATCGTGAAATCTATGTCAGGTAATGGTTGGTAGAAAGGTAACCAGTCATTGTCAATAGGAATATCTTCATGCGCAGTACCAGCAACCATCTGAAAATGCCTGGCAATTTCTTATTTTACAGCATCTTTATCTGTTGAGAGGTTACGTGATGAGGACGCATTGTTAATGCACCGGTCAATAGTAATTATTCATTTTGAGTGACCTAGCAATGAGTCAATCATTTTTGCTGGAAACGATTAATAATTGTCCAATCTTCTTTCTATGGCTTGTTGGATAGATTTAAGCTTGAAGTCATGCTCATGAAGTTTAGCTTTTATGAGTATGCTGCCAAGCAGCTGATCGATGAAAGGAGAGAGTGAGGCAACGATGGGAGTTACAGGGACAGGTGATATTGAGACAAAAACAATATTAGAATCATTCATCATAATATAAAATTTATCTATTAATGCAGACCAATTGGAGGGGAGGATGCGTGTACGATTTATTTTCTTTGTTACCCTCTTGAATTTATATAAGAATTTAAGTTGCTTATATAATTTTGAAAGTAAAGGAGATCTATTCGCTGAATGCTGCCCTTTAGAATTGTGAGAGGGAATATGAGTATCTGCAGCTTTGATGATACATTCTTGAAGAAGATCCCAGTATCGATTTAATAATTGTTGATTAAATACAGTTTTGTTATCTAGAATACGAAGTTGACACCCATTGGCTAGCGTATCTGCTTTGTTACCAAAATCAAGCCACTTATCGTCTAACATTTTATCGTAGTCAAAAACTTTTTTTGAGGGAATATTCCTTTTATTTAATTTGACAGCTAAAAAGTTATCCATGCTGAGAATGACTAAAGAGTGATCAGAGACGGAGGGCAGGACATCTTCAATATCGCAATGATTAAAATTGGAGATCACGTCACCAGACGACCAGATGAAGTCGATTTGAGAATTTGACTTTGTAGAGCAATGTGTAGGATATGCTGTTCTTAGTTGATCATACTTAACTGAAAATGTATCGAATAGGTGAGCATTATTCAGCATGGAGAAAAGATTTTATCTTGTGAGTGTAATTTTGGGTTATCTATGTCAGCATTAAGGTCACTGAGGAGGACGATATAATAGTTGTTAGAAGTTGCTTCTCTGATATATTTCATAAGATCGAGTTGAATAACATTCCTAAGTGCGAGGTTTCCTG